AAAAATCATTTTTAACGTTGTGCTTGAGTTTTGAGTTTCTGAGTTGAGAAAGTTTTTGCAGGTAGATCATCAATTGTGTTGTCACAAGAATGAGGAGATGCACATGGAGAGTAAAATTAATAGAAGTAATGTGACATCTCTTTTAAGTTAAATAAATAATTTAGCATTGATATTTATCTTTTCTTTTACTAAGTTTTAAAATTCTTTTTCTTGTTTTTCACCTAAAAATATTGATTATAAATAAATAAACACCAATATTAGTATCTTTATTTTATTAATTTCTTTATTCTAATCACTATGTGCGACATTGTAGAATAACAAAGAGGAAAAAGTTTTGAAGAGTGCTTATTTTTGAAAATCCATTTATATAAGGCTTTAGATCACTTTCTTTCATTAATTAATTATCATTTTAATTTACTTGTAAAAATATTATAAACTAGGCTAAGAAGAGGTGATGTGACATGTATTTAAAAATAAGAATGATGTTTATCCCTTTTTTTTTTGTTTCAAATAAAAAACCTAAATATAATTATATGGTAGTAAGTACCAATATGAAAATTGTTCATATTATATTGAATCATATTTTCGGCTTTTTCGCTATTGTTGTAAAATCCTTTTCCACACAATAAAGGTAGTGTAAAACGTGTTATACAAATATTTCCTCCGTTTAATTTTTATTTATTTATTAAATCAAAATAAATTATCTAATAAAATTTATTCAATTTAGAGAATTGATAAATAATTCTTTTATCTATTTTACTTTAACAATTAAATATTATTTAATAATTAATATATGTTGCATTAAATTTAATTTATACGAAGGGCAATATATTTATTGTAATATGGGTTGATATTCCTTACTTATAGCTTAATTTAGTATAGTCAACCTTTTATTAAAAAAAATATTAATATTCTTATTAAAGAAAAACTAAAAATGATATGGTAGTAGGTACCAATATGAGAATTTGTTCATATTATATTAAATCATATTTTTGGCTTTTTCGATATTGTTGTAAAAGTATATATATGGATTGTAAAACGTGTAGCAAAACACTCTCTCCGTTTATTTATATTTATATTAAAAGTATTTATCTAATAATATTTATTTAATTCAATAAATTAAAAGATAATTTATTTTTTTAAATCTATTTTAGGGTTATTATATTATTTGATGCCATATATATTTCCAAAACATTTAATTCAATATAAAAAATAATATATTCTTTATATTATATAATATCTAATATATTTTTTAAAGTGTTAGATTTAATATATTCGAAAAGTAATAAATATATTTGTAACAGGGATTTGGTATGCCTTACTTATATTAGGTTAGTATAATTAACCTTTTCTTTCAATTTTTTAATAATCTTAATAGAAAAAGTAAAAATTATATGGTTGTACCCTAGTGGGTACCAATATGAGAATTGTTCATATTATATTACATCATATATTTAGCTTTTTCAATATTGTTCTCAAATATTATGTTCAGATAATATAGTTCGTGTAAACCATATTTTACAATATTTTTTCCGTTTATTATATTAAAAATAATTATTTGATAAATTTATTTAATTTAGAGGATTAAGATAGAATTTATTTTTTAATATCTATTTTATTTTTGTCATTAAATAATATTATATATCTAACATATACATTTCAAAACACTAAATTATATATTTAAAGAATAATATTATCTTTATTATTTATTATTTCTTAAGATACGTAGTAAGTCAATTATAAATACTACTATTAAAATAAAATAAAAAACTATTTATAGCTCGGATATAATTGTAAATTGTCACATCCACACAATATATTTTTAATATATTATATGTTGTACAATGGAAGGGCGGTAATTAATGAATATACACAATATAAATGTGTTGTAACACATATACATGATGGATATTTTTATCGAGACCAATGTAGATTTTTTTATGAAAGGGCGCTACGGATGTGTTAAAAGTCCAAAATGTTATTAATTTGTTGCTACAATAGATTTTAAATGGTTTTATAAAAAGATATTTATTGAGTTATCAAGTTTAATTTTAATTTTTTAATATTTGATTATTGAGTAATTTGATAACTCATTGAAAATATAATAATTTATTATTTTATTCTTATATAAATATTAAATATTAATATCAATATCTTATAACTTTGATCTTAATTTTCAATTCACACTTCACTTTATATAAAATATCAAAACTTACAATAAAAGTTTATTCTTATTAATCTTTTTTTATGTTACACTTGTATAATTCTTTTTTGTTATTGTTTCAATTTTATGATCATTCTTTAAAGTTAAATAATTGTCAGGTCTTAGAAATACTATTTCAACAAGGAAATAAAACATCAAATCAAAAAAAAAGGAAAGGCCATGATTTTCGTCGTTATCGTCTTCGGATTAAACAAATGAATATATTAATTAACTTGAAGGATCAATATGACAACCACTTAAAACTTATGGTATTATCGAAAGCTTGATACAAGTGGATACATCTGGATTTCAAGATTTTATAACTATTACATAATATTATTCAGCTATTCACGAAGCAAGATTTGTGTGTGTGCGTGTGCGCGTACGTGCGTGTGTACGTGCATGCGTTTGTGCATGTGTGAAGGAAAATGTATTCTTTGAAAAATGTTTTTTCTAGAAAATATTTTCTTGGACAACAAGTAGATTTCTAACTTATTTTTCATGTTTGCTAGGTGAGTAGAAAATATTTTTTAATGTTTGGTTGGTGAATTAAAAATAATTTTTCATAATTATCTTTTTTTTTTGGCTTGAGACTTTTGAAATTTTTTTATTTAAAAATCAACTCAGATAATTGATTTAGGACCCGAGCCTAAATCTCGAACCAGGACAAGACACAGATGACCATTCTAGAATTCAACCTTGAGATCTTACCCAGGATGAGGCTCATCGTGGTTAGAAAGGATTATACTTTTTAGATGATTCCTTAATGCTTTTAGCATAGACTAGTGGATTCACTTAGTTAAGAGATTCTATACCCTATCAACGTATAGAACAGTTCTGGTAGCGTCGACAAGACGTTATATCATCATGTAACTCAAACTAATGGTTGTCGGTTAGAGAATCTCCCACATAGTTATACTATAATTTTACACAAAATGAGTTGTTATTGTATTCTTCAAAGCATTGAGATGCTATTTACTGTTTCAAAAGGTTTTCATATATTGCATATTTTATTCTTGCTTTATCTTGAGTTGAGTATTCAGAGTTCAGTATGAGTTGATCAGTATCTTTGAGTTGGGTATCATATTTTTGAATCAAGTATCTTATTTTTGAGTTGAGTTGAGTTGAGTGAGTTGAGAAGAGATAAGTATGTTCCCTTTTATCAAGTTCAAGTTTATATTTATGCTTTAGAATTTCCTTTACATGCTCATACATTTTATGCGCTCAGTCATTTGGCCTGCATCATGAGATATAAGTATCAGAATCATCAAAGGGCGTTTCGTTGATACCAATTATAATTTCAGTTAGATATGGTGAGTCCTTTTGCTTCAAGAAAATTTCATTTACTTTTCAGTTTTGTCAGGATGTCGTGGGTCTTGTCACGATTTTTATATTTGTCATTTAGACGCTTCATAGATAGATTGTAGAGTTTGAGAAGTTTTTTTCATTTATCTTGTTAAATGTTTTAAAGACTTGAGTTGTCTATTTCTGGCGAGTTGAATATATTATTTTATTCAGAATTCATCTTTTAATTTAAAATTTTTGTAATTAAGTTCAATGAATTCTATTCAGTTGTAAGCTTTGTATGCTTGACTTAGTCTTCCGCTTGTAATCATCCAGGATGAGGATTCATTTGCGAACCAGAAATGTTTCTCGATTGTCTACTACATCCATGATGTAGACTCGAATCATGAGCATGCGAAAGCAAATCAAATTAATTTACTGGGTAAGAAATTTGGTGGCTTGTTTTATGAGAAAAAAATATTTTGTATTATATAGTTTTTGTTGGCGCAGATGTTAATGTTATTTGATACAAGCGAGAAAAACAAATCATATTGCTTGTTAACTCTATTTTGGAGATTGAAGTAAGAAAAATTAAACTTCTAACTAGTGAAAAAAATTAAACTTCACCTAGTTACATAAATGTTTTTATCATATTTATTGATTCTATTTATGGTGTGAAATATAATTATATATATATTCTCACTAACTAATAAGTTCATAACAAATTTCAAGTTAAATACAACTAAATATATTTATTTGGTGCACCAAATACATTTTTTAAAATATATATACATAGGCAGAAAGGCAAACAAAAAAGAGGGGTGAAAGTGTTGTCGTATTTCAAATACATATGTCAATCACACTAGATACATGTATTTAACATACCTGATACATTGTCAAATATAAATGCATAGGGAGAGAGACATGTATTTAAATGCATCAAATTAAAATCTAACACGAATAATAATCTTAACAACTCAAATAATCAAATAACAAACTAATAAAATTTGTGTAGTTTGCCCTATCCTTTTGGTTGTGGACAAGTACAATCTAATTTCACTAACAAGGAAGCATTAATTTTGCTTACATCAGAGGTTCAGACATGATCCGCATCACCAAGGTGAACAACTCACAAATTAATTAGATGAGTATATCATAGATTTTCAAAGTAAAATTTAGGAAAAAATTATTTTGATGAATAATCCAAATTTTTAAATACTAGAATAAATTAATATTTGAATCAAATCTCATTATTTGAGAGCTTTGAAAAGTTCAACTTTTACACCAATTTTTTATCTTTTACAAAAACATTCTTATAGTATTTGTTTGCGTTGTATTACATAATTTTTGTGAATATGAAAGTGATGATATGGTGTTGATGAAAAAGATAAACGATCGATTCAAAATAATAAAGTCATGTGCTTTGTCTACTTCACGATATTATTTAAAGCAGATTAGATGTTAATATCAAAATAGAGCAAACTATTTCATAGATTCTGAACGCGCAAAAGACTAATGACAAACACATGATACTGTAATGCTGGGGATTTAGTTTTAACAAAGCTAAAATTTACTTCAAGTATAAGTTAAAACGTCAGCTCAAGTACTTAAATTAGTCACAGATTCAACAAAGAACCAGCAACATTTATAACAGGAGTCATCAGTGAAAGAGTTCTACTTTATCATAAACCTAATTCTGTCAACCAGTCTCTGAATTGTGATGTAATCAAACCTCAGATCAATCTTCCAACTGAGCGATGACGCTTGCAAAGACCCGGAAACCTTGGCACATATCAGACAGTAGACAATATTCATTCTTTGCATGGTATGTAGCCATTAAGCCTGCATTTCAAAAAGTTCAGATTTGAACACAAGTTTATTAGACTCTATTAATAACAAGAAAGAAGAACTACACAATATTAACAAGGAAATGAATTACAATGAATAATTTTAAGCAAATGCAACTGTATCAAAAGTAAGAAGATATGTTACAGATATCGAGAAAAATATATTCAGACAATCGTTCTGGTAAGAAGTATTATGATACATGCCAATTATCTATGAAGGGTCTAAGCTATAGGCTTAATAGAGCTCCACTAATGAGTTTGAGTAGGGATTTTATAGATGGAAATGATGTACACATATTCATGCTAATGATACCTTGATTCTATGAGCTGAAGATACCTTGGTTCTTTTTGACGCAGTTCAGAACACGTAAGGCACTAAAGGTGATTTTTGAAGCTATATCTGGTCTATAAAAATGGTAAAAAGTCACATCTTCCCAATCAATAATACTCTGGACGTATAAGGGAGCTTGCCAAGCATATATTCGGATTATCCATAAGGAGCTAAATCCAAATCTAAAAGGATGTGACAAGAGATGGTGCAAATTTTGAGAAGCTCTCCAGGTAGAAAAAAACAGTTTTGGCAATTTCTCTTTTGACGAAAGAGAAACTTTAACTAACAATAGGCATCACTAACTCAGGATATCCTTATACCCAATGCTAAAAAAAGGTGAAGAGAAAGGTCAAAACAGACGAACGGGAAAAGGAATAAGTTAAAATACACACGTCCCCTTCATAGTTAGGCATGCAGTTCCATCAATATCTGCACTCCTAGTTTTTAATCATTGAACATTTACCACTCAAGCTTATCAACACCAACTAATACCCAATTAGAAGTTTGAAACTGTGCTTCAAAACAGAAAAAGTCAGAAGGTTTAGTCACAAGCTTGCGTCTAAGTTGATGATTGCAACTTGCAAGTAATGTTTTCATTGTATATCTAGAAACATAACCAATCCTGATAGTATTGTATTATTCATTCAGAAAACCGCTAAATTTAACTCTAACAAAGGAAAAAGAGAATGATGCAACTACAAAAAATGAAATAAAAACAGAAATTGTACCGTAGCCAGAAGTTTGAACATCAAAACCCTCGTCCTGCCAACAAATAATCAATAAGATATTGCAAAGTTGAGATTTAAGAAGACCAAACAAGTAAATTTGAAAAAAAAAGTTATGCACCTGTAGATCTCTTATCAATGGCAGAGTACCAGTTATAGAATATGGTTTTACATGCCCAACTTCCTCTTTGGTAGCTTTGCATAGTACATGAAATCCCCGAGAATTGAGATCACAAGCAACTCCAGACGAAGCTTCGTCGAAAGTTATAGTGATTCTGATGGGGATTAAAGTGGACAATTAATTATTAATGAAAAATGGTGAGACGAACTATGGAAAAAATTCCCAGTAATCATATGATTTCTCATCTTTTGAAAGAAAAGTATAGCATACCTGCCCCTTAAGTTCTCATCTGGCAGAACATATTTTGAAACAGGACCTCGACCATCAAGTTTTTCAATGTTGGCATTCAAATCATCAACATATTCTTGTAATTTCTTCATAGCATCTGATACACTGAACAAAGATGCATTGTTAGAATTCCTACAATTTTCAAGAGATTCGTCGGCTATTCATTTCCTGTTTTGAAATAGAAGCTCAAATTTTTTTTATTTTGCAGAGATGGAAAAATGCCACATACAAAGAGAGACATTACTAAAATTCCATATAAAAAAAGAACAAAACACATACCTGTAAAATGGAGTCAACCTGCAAAGAAACAGATGTAATTAGATATCATCATTTGATGAAAGACCTCAAGGAGACTTTGAAGAAGAAACTTACCTAACATCTCCAGAAACAGTGCACTCACCAGGAATTTGGTTGATTCCACCCCCAGGATCTGCGTGGCGAATAATTTAGCACATAGAAACAACCGGAGAAGATAAGCTCAAAATTTTCAAATTCATCCTACTAAGACTTGAGAACTTACAAAACCACTGAGTTGGTTTCATGGTCGATGGTGTAGCAAATTCATAGACTTGTTCTTTTGGATGCGCAGGGAAATCTCTATAGAAGCGGGACTGAATTTCTTTCAGTGCTTCCATAGCAAGCTCCAGAGGATTGATAGCCTAAAATTTGCCATATATGTCACACAAAGTTACAAACACATTCGAGTATTAAAAGGTTTCAACAAAGAGAAAATGTATCCATGTTTACTGTATTCCAGGACATAAAGTAGTATTGATCCAAGGAGGTTTCGTGAATAAAATAGATATGCTAGAGGGAGAAAGGTAGCTTCCCTTCTCTCTAGTTCAAACTCAACCGAAGAGCCTCTGTTTTTGGTCAATCATTCAATTCTAGTGATTGAGCAATTAATACTTAGTCAGCGCATCAACGGATAACAGAATATATTTTCATTGCAGGTCTTATGATGTCACAGAGAGCCAGTCCAAGTAAGAATTCAAAAAGTTGGTATGAGTGGGTTAAGCACGGGGATAAACTCAATTAGCAGATCGAATATTAACAGAAACTTGCTTCTCTGGTTGTGTCAATTACTCTACTTAGGCTTCCGTAGGCCATGGTACCATACTCAGGAAACTGCAAGTTCAAAGGAATAAGCAAATGTGTATTTCTGCTCCTAGAAGTTTTCCTAGTTTTGTGGCATTGCAAGGGTCTATCATCCCTCTTACTTCAAGAAAATGATAGTGGATGGGATGATCTAGCAAATAAAACTGAAAACTTCATGGATAATGGCTATTCACTTCCAGCAGAGCCTGATCTCCCAAATTGCAGAGCACATATGCTGATGCTGTAACTTAAGTTTCAGACATCAGGGTGTGCTCCAATAGAATTTGAAGGTGAATGGGTGTACAGGGCCTTTCTTTTTATTGGTGGATTAGAGTACACGGTCTTCCATTCCATTTATCCTCAAAAGATATAATGAAGGCAATTGGGGGAATATGGCAAGGATGGGCAGAAACAACAGGGTCAGATGGGCCCGAATCATGGTTAGAGAATGCAAAAATTGTTCACTCTATTCCTTTTTTCGGAACTTCAAAATTTAATTTGAATGGAAAAAATAAATGTCGGGGGAGCAGTTGTTAAAGAAAGGTGAAAGTGTGATTGTTGAGCTTATTATGTTTTTTGAGAATGTTGTCATGTGAATTAAAGCAAAAAAAATTGTTGCCTTGAGGTCTAGAAAAAGGGAAAAGCAACATGAAAGTTGAAGAACATTTTTAATCAAACAAGGGAAATTGTGAAAAGGGTTAGAGAAAGGTTGTTGTGCATAAGCATTACAGTACTTGACTCACTCTTATCGATATGTATCACGATGCATCTAGGAGAACAAGAGCCCAATGGATCTACGCGTTTAGCCTCAAATGCATTTAGGCAGTCACCCACGGATGCATTTGGACTTTCAGTTCTATTCCCACGAATACATTTGGACTTTCAGTTCTATAAATAGGGTAGTAAGATTGGTGGAATAATCATAACAACTCTGAATCTTCCGTCAACATTCTTTTATAGAACAATTTTCCTCTAATTAACAGGTACTTCAAATGGCAGATTAACATTCATAACAGTGGATATAAAAGGAGCTGACACAAGTAATACCACCATAAGCCATCATCAGTAGCGGAGCCAAGATTTTCAATGAGGAGGTTCAAAATCTGAAAAAATAGACACACCAAGTAGTCGAAAGGGGTTCGACATCTACTATATATGCCTAAAAAATTATTTTAACCATATATATATCATAAAATATTCCGCCGAAGCAGGTTCGGATGAACCCTCATTGTAAGGTGGCTCCACCACTGGCCATGATGTTTCTATTGTTTTACAAGAGAATTTTGGTAAAAAGGAGAATGCCAGGATTTGTCACACATAAAAATCAACATAATAATATAATCTTGTGCAAACAAATTCCTGTATGGATCATACTTTTTCTTCTCCAATTTCATCATCTTTTATACTGCAACGGAACCTCTTGTTAAAATAACAAGATGGGGCATCAAGTGTAAAAATAAGTTTGAAGAGCTTAGATTTCAAGCAGTAGAAAGAAAAGAGTACCTTGTGGGGGAGACCACTGTGAAAAAGCTTTCCAGTTACATGAAGTTTCCACGGTATACTGCCACCGGTACCAATGCATGGTTGTTTATCTGCTGTGTCAATCCAAAATCTATATAGAGAAATAAACAATACGAATAAATTCACAATGTTTCTGCAATGAAACTTGATACTATAGCATACAGTTACTTACAGAGGGCCTTTCTTTAACTTATCAAGCAATCCATCCTTCACTAATGCATCCACACCAACCCCAGGGATAGATGAGTTCTCTTCACTGGCTATGAAGACAGCAACCACCGTGGATTTCAACTGTGGCTTTGTCTCCCCAAGACGCCTCATAAGCTCGGATACAAGAGCCACATGACCTAAACAATCAGTAGTTCCACGTCCTCGAAGTTTATCACCATCAATGCTCAATGAAAAGGGATCAAATTCCTGAATACAGAATTGTTTTACCGTTATATGAGAGATCATTATCATTGCCGACTCATAAAGGAGCATAAATTACAAAAAAAAATTATGTTTTTGATGTTATGCTTTCTCTGCCAATCTACACTTCAATCAAGATTCTAATACTTTCTTCCACCACTATAAGCATAATGCTTAAGCCAGACCAACACCAACAATTAACAAACTCCCTTATTAAGTATCCACTCAAACAACAACATATAAAAGTAAAGCAAAGTAGCACAAACTTTACCACCCTAAGCCAAAAAAAAAAGCAACCAACTTTACAAAGTAAATTCAAAATAACGGAAAGGGGTAGCAAAATAATTGCATTTACATACCCAATCATCAGGATTGGCAGTGACAACATCCATATGCATTCCAACAAAAGACAAGATTTTCCCGGGCTGAGTACCCGGGTACTCCACAATAAGATTACCCCTATTAGGCTTATACGTAACATGATTGATGATCAATGGTCCGCCGCCGGTGGTGGTGCTATAAGGAAGAAGTGTATCAAGAACGTGATTCACAATCCTGTCTTCCTCCGGGATAAGCTCCGGCGGATTGTTCTGTACATATTTGGACTCGCCGATCAGTTTCCCCAAAAGGGTTACGAATGAATCCTTGTTTAGATCGCCCAAAATCTGCTTAACAGAAGCTGTAGTAGTCATTGTAGTGAGCTGATGCCTTATTTTCGGAACAGAGCAAACCTAGGGGAAGAAGTTTGATGTTTTAACAAATCCTACTTTTCACACACAAATTGACTTTATTAATCCCTCATTTTAATTTTACTTTGATCCATATTAAAAATAGATATCTCATTTTAATTTTTTAAAATAAATTAAAAAATTAATAATATGTGTCGAGTCAACCAGAATCAACTAATGTTAAAGGAAAGGATTATTAGTTTGGAGGTAACCTTTAAGAAATCCAATCACTCCTACAAATTTAAAAATATTTTTATTAAATCATTCTTAATCATATAATATACTCTATTTTTTACTATAAATTACTTGTGTTTTTATACATTTTTATTGTGATAAAGTATTTGTTTTGACCAAATATAAAAATTAAACTACCATAGTAATATCAAAGGGAATAGAACTTATTTTAATAGATCATTGTAAAAACATGTATTATTTTGCATAAACACAAACTTATTCGAGGGAAGATATGCAGTTTCTTTTGATTAAATAAATATTAAATAGAACAATTTTAAAATATCTTTTTTCAGTCTCCATTTGAATCATTTATATATATACAGGAGCTAAAAGGTATTAAATAGGAGAAGACTATTAGAAAAAAATTATTTTAAACATATGAAAATTGTTATGAATGATATTGGGCTTGGGCCAAATGAGAGTAATGGGCAGAAAAATTATATCTGGGAAACTGGGTTAAATGTTAATTGTTTTAGCCTTTAGAATGTGTAAGTAACTTTCACATATAGCAAACGTAAAATTCATATTTGTATACTATAGCAAGGTTTGTATATTTGCTCTCCATAGCAAATATATATGTATAATTCTCTATACATATATGATTATAACGAATTGTATAAAATGAAGTGTATAAAAAACGAGAAAGAGAAAGAGACTTGAGCAGAGAACTGTATAAAACGAAGTATATAAAATGAATTATATAATTATAAGTGTATAGCACGATTATATATAATTTAAATTTGTATAAAAACGAGAAAGGGAGAAAGGCAGAAGAGACTTGGGCAGGGAATATACAATTGAATCGAATTGTATAAAACGAGAAAAAGAGAAAATATATACAATTTAAATTTATATAAAACGATAATAAGAGAAAAACAAAAGAGACTTGGGCAGGAAAGTACTTTTATTGTATAATTATATGTGTATAAGACGGAGATATATGTATTTACATGTGTATATACAATTTTCTCTCGCTTTATACAATTAGAAACACAATTTATACAATTCTATTGTATAAAGCGAGAGAGGCAAGCGAAGGAAGCGAGCGAGAGAGGGAGAGTGGCGAGCGAGAATATGAGGAATAGAGAGACTGACAAACAGTTTGCTATGAAACAGAAATAAATCAAATGATAGCTACTATAATTATTTTATATTATTAGTTTGACATTCTATACAATTATCCCTATTAAATATCACACAATTCATAATGCTAAAGTATTAAAGGTATGCCAACATTGTTGTGAAAAGTCTGTTTGAACATCTTATATGAAATGAAGTTGAATTGTTTGGACCTGCCATTCAAATATCTTTAAGTTGTATTTTTTTCTCAAAAGACAAAATCCCACAAGTTATAAAAATTATCAAAAGATTTCAAATTCTTAAATAATCTTACCAAATAAGTTAACCATTATTCTAATGACTCATTTTTTAAGCTTCTATGCCCTTTCTTTTTGTTTCTCACTCATTGTCTAAGCCCGCATCAGATTTCCGATTAAATTCGAATCACGCATTGCAGGATCCATTAGAGGATAGCACTCCCAACAGGATTTTCTTCATACCGAGATCTCTGATTAAGGATAAATTAAGTATTGTGCCCTTTAATTTCATCTTTTGGTATATAAATTGATTGGTGTTATTTTCCTCATTAATATCACTTTCCAGTAGCATGAATTTCCCCTCGCATTTGTGTTGATCTTTGTTGAATTTCATACATTTATTTTAATTCATATGACCTAATTTGATTAAATATTAAAAAATTAAAAATAAAGACTTTTGACATTTATTTATTATTATACAAGTATTATAACCGTCTCGTATTATATCTTAAGCACACAGTCTATTTATATTTTTTTTAACAAATTAGAGTAAATTTATTTGCACGATTATGATATTTAGCCCTCCTTATTTTCTCTCTTCTCCTATTGCAAATGTATCGATATTCAAAATTTACTGACCCAACTTATTCAAATTTTCTCTTGTCAAACTCGAAATCCCCGAATATATATAGTAGTACAGTTCAATTATTATATACCATTATCAACTACTATTAAAAAAAAAAGGAAATCTAATTATGATACTGTGTTTGGAAGAAGTGTCACTGTTCCAGGCTTGCAACATTCATTGTTAATTTGTTATATGGAAAATTACAGTAAGAAAAAAAAAAAGGTGTTTATACTAGTGTCCATTATATATGCAGCAGACAGGGCTATGGATAAGTTGAGTGGCCATATTTGCAATGATTACAACTCTTTTAATTATTGATATCCTAGCCCATACATTTGAACACGACTTCACCTTCATTACCTACTTTTTTTTTTCAATTTTTCACTGGATAAATTTGAGATAATGTGTAAAAATACGTAGTTCAGATAAAAAAAAAAAGAACAATTGAATAGTTGGTCTAGTCAATTTTATTATATCTTTTTATACACAAATAATGATATAGTTTAAGTAGAAAATAGGAATAACTAGTAGTTAAATAATAAAAATCATGAAAAAAAGTATTAATTTAATTATGTTTTTCGCTATCAACTCTATATTTTTTTGAACGAACAGTAACTACCCTTGAGTTCCACTAGCCCAAAGGCTAAGGATGTGCAAAAACCAGTTTAAGTGAATCGAAAAAAACACTATTGATTATCAGCCGTTGGTTAGCAGGGTATAAACGATTTCGTAATTTTTTTATCGGGTTATTGATTTGAAGTACTCATTCTTTCACTTTTTCAGTTACAATAAAATAAAAAGAAACATAACTTAATTGATAAAAATTGAGAATGCAATTCTGATCCGATTTATCCATGATATTCGAGGCTCATTAATGACGTATTTCTCAAACCAGGATGATTTAGATTTGACCTCTACATGAATATTCCATCAATTTGCGGAATATTCGAGATCCTGATCTCTTTATGGAATTTTTGAGATGTCTTTCAAGGGAATTCAGTACTCTTATATAGGGATGAATTAGAGTTTAGGGTTGAGTAGCCTCTAAGAATCCTAATTGGAATTGAACATATCTAATAGAGTCTTAATTCGAATTGAATGCCTACAAAATTTCAATGTCTACGACAATTTATCGCATAGTATTAAACAAAAGTGATCAATGTAGATAAATTTGAGTCACACTTCTATTTTTGCTACTATTCTATTTTGTGAACATCGATTATTCTCTTATAGATTAAATAAAAAATAAAATAAAAAATTGAAATGCTAAGGGCAAAAAATTGATAATAAATATCTTGTTGATATAATTATTGATTTAGCATTTCCACAAATCAAAATTGTATCATAATATATAAAATCAAATTAAATCAACCGATGCACACCCTCAAACTCCCCCAACCAAAACCTAGCTGTTCTCTTTCTGAAGTAACTAGCTAGATCTGTCAATTTACAGTACAATCTCTCTGGGACCAAACCTTTTTTATTTTTTTAACTCACAAAGATACTCCTTATAAGCTCTTTTTACGTTTCCAAATCTTTGTCCTATATTTGTCAGTAAAAAAACATACTAGGGTTTTGTATTGTGAAGTTGTTTTCTGAGATTATTTTGTTAAATTTTCTTACTTTTCATCCTCCAAAGTTATGTACGTGTCAATTAAAAAATAAATACCTATGGTGGACATGCACTGAATTCAATAATATTTTTGTAAGTTGAATGAACCATCTCATTCACCTCAAGGAAATATTAATTAATGAAACAACATGGGTTGTGACTTTGTGGTGTAATGGAAGAACTGTTTCATATTCTTAATCTGAAATCTCAAGTTCGAGTCTTGAAATGAAGAAACTCCTATTGAGAGCGTCAGTTACCCCTACATAGGCCCACTATTTGAATTAAGTTGATGCTCTAATGCAGATCCCGAACATCGAGCGAGAGACGAAAGCATACAAATTAATTAATGAGAGGTTGATGAGAAATTGATATTGATAGTGGAGGAAGAAAAAAATGAAAGAAGAGGGGACCAAATCAAAACATGCATGTAAATGTTCTGTCCTGCAAAAGTATACTTAATTAGAATCATGCAGTGCAGGCCCTATTACATATATATGTTGTGATATCTCTTTAGCTAGATGGTCCTAAATGGCTCAGAATACTCAGTTGATTTTTGCTTACAAAGATTTGTGTTTGTGGGGGTCCAAGCCAATGGTGAATTACTATTTTTTATTAAAAAAAATTGAACACACAAACTTCAAAGTACTGAACTACTATATGAATGAGGCAGTTCCTATGAAATTTTTGGACCACCTAAGCTATTAGTTGATTCATTAGGTAAGTTTATTTTGCTGAAAATGGTTAAAATTGCCTCTGAACTATGTGAAATAGATTATTTATATCCTCTATTATATTTTGGGATCAAAAATGCCCCTGTTGTTATCCTAAGAGACCACATATACCCTCAAGAGTTAATACCTCATATTTTTATTAACTTGGCAAGACACGCGGGACTAATCTTTCCACCTAAGTATTGCCAACTAAGATTCACTACAAAAGAATTAGACTTTTAGACGGCTTTTTTATTGTCGCCACAAAAGCCCAAAATTCGTCACTAAAAATTTTTGACATTAAATTCTAATTTTATGTTTTTTTCTTCATTGTTTTTAAAAAACATAAATGATATCGATTAAGTATAAGTTTGAAGACATTGTATGTTTTATTTTTATGTTATATGTAAATGTATAAAATGTACAATGATGCATTATATAGTAGGAGATGTGAATCGAGAAATAATTTTCATGATTTTTCGTAATAATATTGGATGTTTTTAACATTGATATTGCAAGTTATTTATTTTAGAAAATTAGGTTGCAATCGAAAATTAATTATCATTTTTTTTGTTGAAAAAATGGATTTTACTAGTGAATGGTTGTTGGAGCCTTAGTCGTCACTAAAAATAACTCATAACCTTTAGTGCAATATTTTGGAATTTTATGGCAACTTTATCGCCACTAAAAGTCAAGTTCTTTTGTAGTGAATTTCAGTTGGCAACGCTTAGGTGGAGGGATTAGTCCCATGTGTCATGTCACGTTACTAAAAAATTGAGGTGTTAACTCTTGAGGGTATTTGTGATCTCTTAAGATAACGGCAAGGGTATTTTTGATCCCAAAATATAATGAAGGGTATAAATGATCTATTTCGCATAGTTCAGGGGCAATATTGACCCTCTTCCGTTTATTTTTAAGTACATACCTACTATTTTCTTAACTGTAAATCTAAAAGGAAACAATTCAATATATAATTTAAACTAGCGTCTGATTATAAATTTTAATATGTGTTTGACCATAATTTTAGAAAAAACATTTCACTCTTCAAAAAAACAAAGAATGGAACATAATTTATATTCACAAGTTCTAAAATTATTTTTAAAAAATCATAATTGGACACAGAATTATAGTTTTTTTAATGAACTAGACATATAATACATTAAAATCATATTTTTAATAAAAACTACAAATGATACAATTACCAACTGCATAATTTGTTAAAATATAATTAGTTACGAATATCCATCAATACAAAAATGAACTAATAATAATAATAACTAATTATATTCTTTAAAATATTAATCTTCTTACATTCTTCGAACAATCTCTTTAACGAGAATACACTTAAACAAGGGGTTAGGTAGATAACATTCAGGGGTGGGTGCTAGCCAAATAGATAGTATTCAGCTACTTGTCATATCTATGGTCCTAATTAGTTTCATGACAAACTACTGCGCTATTGATAGGTTGAATTGAATTTGAATTAATTGAGTTATTAGACGATTGATACGCCCAAAGATTTCCTTGATTGAAATAAGTAAAAGTCAAAATTGATTAATTAAACAATAGGTTGGAATCTAACCCGTCCAACTTTTTTTATAAGTTTCAATGTCTTTATTTGTTTTCTTATAATTCGTTTAATTATTCAATAAAAGAATTCTCATGTAAAAGAAAAAAGTGTTTTAAAAAATATTTTGATAGAATTTTGCATAGATAAAATTTGGACTACAAATCAAGCCAACTTTTAAATGAGATAAATTAAACAGGTCAAACTTATAAACTAAATTAATAAATAAGCAAGCTATTAATTAATCCGTCAAAACTAATGAATTGTACGTATCATATTTTCATAGACTACTTTTGCCACCGTAATCATAGTTAATTTGTATTGATGGTCATAACTCTAAAAGCAGAATAGGAGGACGCAGTGGCGGAGCCACGTTAAGGGGTGTCGACCGATACCCTTTGTTCGAAAATTACATTATATAGTTAGAATAAGAATTATTTTTTATGTATATATTAGCTTCTACGTGATTTTATTTCTTAATATTTTGATACCTTTTAGATAAAATTCTAGCTCCACCAGTGAAAGGACGTACGATGGCCTAGGTTTGTTAATGAATGTACTAGCATATTAACTTTCAAAGCAAAATAGTCTATTGTCGTGCAACTTGACAAGTTGTTCGATATATATTTGAAAGCCCTAAACTAATTATTCATCATTTTCACATATAACAACTAATGGAATGTGTACGTTCACAATCAGTCAATGGATCAAGTCTTTTAACTCAGCAAGAATAATTATGAATAGTAAATAACAACAAGAACACAAACACAAGTAATTTACTTGGAAACCTCCTTGCTCAAGGGAGTAAAATCACGACCTATCTAACAAGATTTTGAACTATTTTCACTAATCTCTTCAAGCAAAAGTGAAATCCAGTTACTGTCAAGTGAGAAAAAGCTATTAATTTTACAATTAAGTAATAACTCTATTACTTAACGAGTTTAAGCCGATACCACACTACCCAATATGCTATTACCACTGTACAACTTAGAATATGACTAAGCAGTTATCACACTGCCCACTAAATCAACTAGCACCTAAAAAAATTTAGAATTTTGACTAAACAACAAACAATGTTGCCTACTAAATCAATTATCCTTAACTGATTTTGACTTTTACAATCAAATATACTATATGAATTCTTTATAAATCAGGAACATATTTACAATTTAAGTGCAGAAAGATGATCCTAAAGAGAAATTATATTTATTTAAAAGGTAATTATTAAAGGTAAGTTAGTACAAAAAAAAAACACATCTTATATTTTAGGTATGAGTAGTTTGCTTAAGAAGTGTGCCGACTTGAAAACATCATTTATTTTGAAACGTTTACTATTTGTGTTAATGAAGGCGTAAAAAAGATTAAAACGACATTTAAAATATAACGAAAAGAGTATATATCGATGAGAGACAACATAAATGCAGCAATAAAGAGTAGTAACATGACAGATACAATAATCCCCACGGAAATATATGTTGTCTTTAGAAATGAGCAAACTAGAAAATGACACTGCACTGCAAAGCTCTTTTTTACAGTCTAGCTCGCACTCCAACCCTAGCCAAATTACTTTTTTTTTATCAATTAATCAAATATGACACATTTTTTTTATTATTATCATACTTAACCCTTCATTTCTTTTAAATTTACAACTTGCTCTTTTCTTCTACTTCTTCTTGCCTATTCACTCAATTTGCTTCAATTAATAGAGCATATTGCAATTCACACAAAAACAAATTAATCAATCCATATATAAGAAAAGGAAATTTGAGTCTAGGGAAATTAATTAATTAACCACAACATGTATATGATCGATATTCGACTTGTGTGTTTATGGTGAAGATGTTGTTGTTGTTGTTGTTGTTGTTGAGGATGATGATCTCCATCCTAGTCGAAGCTCGAGATCAAGTTCATCTTCAATGAGTGAATCCCTCTTGTTGCTACCATAATCATGGTTGTTATTATTATTATCATCATCATTACTAGTGTTACAAATTCTTGGATTAGGCTTATTTATTGGGAAGTTTAGAGATGTAGGAGTAGGGTATGGAGTAGTTGGAGACATCAAATTGTTATTTGTTGGATATGGTGAGATTGAGAGATTAAGAGTACTAGAAGATGATGAATTGTTATTCATAGTACAAGATTTTCTTGATGTGGGGTTATTGAAGATATGAGTGTTACTAGGGTTAGGCAAGGAGTATAAAAGACAAAGTCCACCATTTGTTACAAATTCTTGAGTTGGAACTAGGAAAGTGGAATTAGAATTTTGTGAAGAAATGTGATTGTGATTGTGGTTGTGGATGCTATTTGAAGCATATTGTGGTGGAGCTTGGTGGAGCCTAGCACGGTCGCGACGATGAACATTCATGTGTCCACCTAGGGCTTGAGCTGACCGGAACTCTCTCCTACAAAAGGTGCAAGTATAGGACCTTGGTGGCCAAGTGGTGCCCATGGCATTGCCCGTGTCTTCCTCAAATGCTCTAACTTCCCACGAATCATCGTCATCCTGAGTTGCTTGCTTAGCGTTCCACATCCAACAGTCAGTGACAGAGTCAGGATTGAATGGTGGTTGGAGTGATGACAATTGTTGTTGGCTATGTTGTTCTTGGGATTGAGCCAGTTTTTGGAGTTGAGTCGAAGACAGAATCCCAAGTTCAGCAGCCATGATACACAAATATTATTTTTATATATAGGGTGATAAGAGTTATGATGTGGATGAAATGATGAAAAGGGTTAAATAGAGGATGGGTTTATGAGTGAGGGAAAATAGGGACAAAAAACCCTAGCTACACTGAAGATATCTACAATGTTTACAAGTACATAGTTGGAACTTAGTCATCAAGACAAAGATTAGAAAATTAAATAAATTTTTGCACTTGATTAATTAATAATTAGTAACTCTAATCTTTAATTTGTAGAATACTTGGTCTTTGACGTCCTTCATTTCTTCTCTACTTCTCCAAGGGGTAAGTTCACACTAAACAATAAAAGAATGGAAGGTCATAACAATATGTTCAGACAGATTCAGAATTTGAAATATACAAATTTTTATAACGATCTCCGTAAAATTCTTTAAAATATATAACGAATTTGAACGAAAAGCTATAAAGTTCATATGAAATTATAAGCAGAATTCTAGATCCGCCCCCAAATAATTTACTTGACTCTTAGACTCATCGATTTTGACCAGGAGGAAATTAAAGGAATTTATTGGATTAACCGAAATGATGTTAATTAAATTGTAATTAAGTCTTTGTCATGGAATGAAATCTCTACAAATTTTATGATGTGACTTGGTCTAAATTTTTAGGACAAGATACATGGGGCTTGTTTGAGAAACAACTCACTTTGCTTTATTTGTCTATTGCCATTTCACTGTCATTAATTACTTCATTTTGCACGGACCAATTATATTTAAATACATATTTGTCAATTTCATTGTCAAATAAAGAAACACCCCCTAAAAAAAATTAAAAAAAATATGCTTCCTTCTATTGTTCCACTTGGTACTTTCTAATGAAAATGTTATTTATAGTAAAGTTAGGGATATGAATTATTTACATTTAATATATGATGTCGATTACTCTAGTAATTATAACAGAGAAGGATGTCTCGTTGAGGTTTATACCTTTTGATTTAAAGTTCAAAATAACTATAAGAGGAACTTCAGTAGGTGTTACGTGCAAAAATTAGGACCATCAAATGATTTATTTTTTTGAACATGATAGGATAAGAGTTACGACTAACATCTGAATATTTTTTTTAAAAATAATCTAGTAGATATATTGTATCTATATCGCAATGTACCTTCGCAAATCTCACATCGATTTGAACCTAAATCTTCTATCAAAGTACCATCCTCAGGTACAATTTCTAGTTTTCTAAAATCAAAAGTATTTTAAATTTAATTTGCTGATTAAATTGATAAATTAAAAGAACCAAAAGGGATTATAAGTAGCAATAAGTAATTAATAAATTCACATTTTTGCCTTTTGGATTTGAAATGGTATCAATCGATCGTTACTACTTCCTAGTAAATTACCAGCTTTGATATTATCGTGTTACATGGACGTACTTAAAACATCCATTTTTTAGTGTCATGTTTTATTCTTTTCATATATTTTGCTTCATTTTTTTCTTATCAAGGACCTATAAGTAAATATAAAATTGTCATCAATCAACTTATCCATGTTAAAATACTCAAAATTATCAAACTTAATTTGAATATTTGACATTCCTAAATATAATCGAGTTGATTGAGCAGGTAATCTTCTAAATGAAAAATCCTTCAAGACTGACCCTTATACATTTTTCAGTTGAGTTCATCACATATAAATCTTATGTAATTATTACATGGAAGCATGATTTTGCTATACACATTTCAAAGATGGATGTATTAACAACTTTGTAGTTAAGTACTACAATTATATCATAAACTTTTTCTTTCTTATTTCATATCCCTTATATTGTTTGCTTCCTAATTGTCCATATTGTGTGCTTTCTCGTAGAAAATAAGAAGAATAACATTATTTGTAAATTAAATATTTGTACTAGCAATTAAAAAACGGAAAAATAACCCGTACTTAATTAGCTGTCCATTTCGATGAAATGAAAAAAAAGATAATATAAGAGATTAAATTAATCGCTATCTTAATTGATGAAATCTAGTGTTTGGCCTAGGAGAAATAAACTAAATAATACTCCAATAATCTTACTTAGATACTTCTTAATACCCTTGTTTACATCGTTTCAACATAACTACCAGGTTTCTAGGTTGCAGCTAGCTAATCTTCCTAGTAAAATATAAATATATTTTTTTTAATCAATTATCAATTTATTTATTTTTTTCGAAAACACGATGTTTTATATTATATGCACAATCCTCGACTTAAACAAATTTAATGTGTAATGTATTTTACTTACTTCAACACAAATACGTACTTCCCTTTTTAGCCTTTAGTTTCTAGTAAGTACCAAAGTTTCGTTATCAATACTATATAAATTGTGATTGTTTTTATAATTAATTTTTAACAAAATACGAATTTGTACACTAATAGAACCAGAGGGCTTTTTTCATCACGAATCTGTGAAAAATTTATGCTATAACATATTATCTTTTTACCCAATTTCCATTGAATGATAAAAGCAGAATTTAAAACAAATTCCGTTGAAATATTGAGAATAGTCACTGAACATTTTTTTTCTCACTCAATATAGTAAAATGTCTATAAAATAAATCACTGAATATTCTTTTAGTGTAAAAAAATTATTTTTAATAATATAAACATATCAATAAAATTAGTTCAATGCATTTAGAATAGACATAAGCAATAGTGATACATATGTAAGTATAACGAAATTAACATGATAGACGCAATTAGTTGGATCTTGATATTATCGATTCAACTATGGAATCATGAATAATAAATTCTTAAAAATTCCAATGGTAGGAATAGCTCCCTAATAGACTGGATTAATATGTAAATCTAGGGTTAGCAAAATTAATCCTGACCTATTTATTACTCAGACGTCAATGTGGGTATTGAATTCCGATAGATAACAATAAAAAATCTTACTATAAATGGATAATATACATGTGATTTTTTATGTAATACATATGATTTTAGTGGTGTATTTGAAGTAGATTTTTTATGTATTTGCAAGGTATACACATGTATAGGTTAAGATTTATGAATAGGGCACAAACAATAACTTTGATGGTATTTTTTTTATTATATGTATCTATCACTATACATATACTCAAGTATGTGTAAGTTGTATCTGATAAATTGTACATGTATCCCAAATCCATGATTCATAGCAACACAATGACAATCGACATTGTTGAATCAAAAAAGTTTAGAAATTATCGCAGAAGAATTTTGGAGAAGAATAAGTATAAGTTTTCTGACTTTCAAATATCTTTTTGAAAGAAATTCGAATATTTTGAATTTTTAAGTAGTTGTGATATCGTGAGATACTCCAAAAAGTTGTTTCACATGTGATTTCCTCATTAAATTACGCATCATGCGTTTCAGTTACATTCCTTATTTAAATACACTTTATTATATACATAACTGATTAATACGTCCATGTACGTGTATCTGCGAATTATGTTAGTATTATCACAATATAACAAACTCACAAAAAGAAAGATAATTAGCTACTAAGCTAATAAATTTTGTATTATTTACCCATATACACATTATATGTCATTTGATTTGGGCTTTAATTGAAGCCCAATACATAAAAGTTGCTAATTGTATATAACTTTTGTACTTCTTGTCAATTTCTTCACATACGTAGCTGCCCCGCAATAATTTAAGATATTTGTTTAGTTCAACTAACTCTAATTGCAAGCCAATAATAGCACATTTCTTACATAAAAAAGGTATTAAATAAACTATGTATCAATATTTTATACATAATATATAATATTGTGTATATAATGTATAATTGTGTATTAGAGATGTATATAGATCCATAAATATTTTCATCTTCCTCAAAGAGTTGGTTTTTTCAATCCTTACCAACTCAAATCTCCTCTAAACAATCTCAGATTATATATCTAGTTGTTTTTTACCGAATATAGACTTGTGGTTCGTGATTTTTGGGAATTCAGAATTTTCATCTCAAGATATGAAATCATGAGATGAAACCAACGAAAATTGCAATCCAAAACTTTGATTTCATCTCATGATTTCATATTGCATGTTCAAATGTCTACAAAATATACATCATAATACACTCAAAAAGTTGCATATAACTTAACTATATAAGAAGCATACACTAACTACACACAAAGTGTACACGGACTATTCAATCTCGATCAACTCAAAATCACCTCTAAACTAATAAAAAAATTATCTAGGAAATCCTCTCGATGTATCGAATATATTGATATATAATTCACGCCATTTTCTTGGTAATTAAGTTTTTGGGCTAGTATTTATGTTCGGGGCCGGCCCAATACGAGCCACGGGCCTTGGATTGGAAACTACATTTTAAATTCTTTTTCTTTCAGCTCACAAATACTACAAAATATCTTGAGTAATTTCTGCAACTACAAAAAAATAAAAAATAAACATACCAGATTATAGGGCAAAACAAATTATATTCATAACAGCATCATTAGTATATCTTAGTCTGTTTCTTTACATTAATTTGTAGCTAATGGACTCTAATGATATAATTAATTTTGAATTAAATTAACTACCAGATATATTAGAGTAATTTTTGCATTCCTTTTTCAAAAAAGAAATATATATGAGAGATAAATTTATTTTCCTCTTAGCAGTACCTTTTAAAGGATCGAAAAAATTAATTTAGACATTCGTATATTTAACTGCAACTTAAAATAGCTTATAAATATATAATATAGGCATAATTCATGTATATCATTTATGTAACTATGTATAATTGGATATAATTTATGTATCTACGGAGAAAAGTTAAATAATGACTTTTAGAGTAAGATGGCAGTAGTATCAGTTTAAAATAAGGATGGAGGGTGTAATATATTATGATTTTATTTTCTCATTTCTTTTAAAAAAATATTTTTTAAAAAAATATCCATAAGTAAAAAATTCTAGAGTCAAGATATTGGTCGACAAATTAAAAAATTAATTCAATTTACTTTTCTTTCTTTTGATGCATTTCTGTCCAATATTATAATGAAACTTTCTTTTAAACTAATATATCGTGCAAAATTTTCAACTTCTATAAAATC